CCGCTTTTAGAACCTAGACTTGCCCTTTAAAACATAACCCTTACTGCTGGCATCATAACCAATACAGGGTATTGTAGGTTGAGATTTTCCAAGTGTAGTAAATATTACTGCAATTACTGCTCGAGGTATGCTTTTTCATTGTGGAGGTGGCTGTCATGAAATTGCATTGCCATTAAGGGCCTCAAACTGTTCGTTTACAAGAACAAAAATGAATTTAATTGGCACCCAGCACTTGCACTGCCTGGTGCAGATGCCCCCAATAACAATCAAATTTAGCTCACTTTTAGTTCAACTTTAGAGAGCACAATGAAAACCAAACCAATGCATGCAAAGTCATCATTTTCATTCTTACCCTTTTCTCCTTATTATACCTCGGTATATCTTTCTCCCCTGGATTTGCCCTTCAGGTTTTTTACTTTATACTGGCACTTCTTTTCCTGATAATATTTTGCTACAAATTTTCTCTCATATACTCTGCCTCTTAATGTCTGACAGGAGAGGGCCAGGAGGATGCTCTGAGCAGGATTCAGCGGCTCATGGCAGAAGGAGGAATGACAGCCGTGGTCCAGAGAGAGCAGAGCACAACTATGGCCTCTATGGGGGGATTCGGCAATAACATCATTGTGAGCCATCGCATCCACCGCGGTTCCCAAACTGCATCCGACTCTGCCTCCCGTGTTTCCACCCCACATTCACCGCAGCCCTCCACCTCCAGAGAATCCGTGGCAGAGCTTCAGCGACACCTCTCCCCACCTCCATCTCTTGAGCCGCTGTACCCTGAGCTGCTGTCAAATAACAACAATGATGGAGACCTCGATCTCCAGCCTCCCAGCAGCGGCTCCGTCCCTAGTGTTGAGAGGTAGAGACATCAAACTACCAATCTGGTACTGCTGTAAGGACAGACCCCTTCCCGCCTCACTTTTTTAATTTAAAGTGAGGGGCTCTCAAGCTGTGGACAATGGTGCTATAGACTTGGAGGCAAATTTATTTGATAATTGACTCTCCAAGTTCAGGGAGGGAGGGGAATGTGCAGAGCATAGTATGAGAATTGTGAAATTAGCAGCTAAATGTGCTCACGCAGCCCCTCTGCCCTGCTTCCCCACCTTATACTCTGCCTTTTCTGTTGGTAATGTTCAGAACGCAGAGAAAAGCCATTTCCCCATTATACTTAAAAGGGTTTTTCTCCCCCTCTCTTAAAGGGAGATTAGTGAGGTGACGTTCCATCAGAGATCCTTTGCCCATGCCACTTCCTGCCCCTCTAGGTTTTATTTCTTTCCAAAGCTGTATTGAAGATGGAGATATTAGCACTAAATATCCCTGTGAGCCAGTGTCAAGTCAAGTGCAAGGAGCTGCTATGAGACTGTTACTGCCCTCTGTGCTTTGACTGAAGCTCAAGGGGGCGCTGCATGCACTACAGGAAGGGTGGGGCTGGGGACTCTGTACTCTGTGCATCTTCTTCTCTCATCATGCATGCCTGTTTGGGTGTCCTACATCCTCTCCCAGCCTCTTTTCAGTGCCAGTGACGCAACGCTGATACTTAATAGAGCTTGGGAAATGACGGCTGCTCCATCCCAGCACAGGCAATGCAATGTTGACAGATACGGAAGGGGTTTCTCTGTCAACAAGGACGCAAGGTTATCTTCCGGTGGTCACAAACCAAGAACCTGCCGCTCCACAAAGCTGATTTTATTGGGTTGCCAAATAGGTTCAGAGATATGCTGCATTTAGACTTGAGATCTGCCTTTAATTTTGCTTTTTTTTTTTTTTCCCCACTTTGCAACAGCAACCTTCATAATCTTGCAGTTCTAACCAGCCCTCACCTGTTTTCCCTGCGTCTACAATGTGTGTCTGATTACAATGTATGAAGTGTACCCACCTTTCCCCCCACCTGTTTCACAGGTATTCCTCTCTATGTGAATATGTCTGCCCAAATGAACATGTAACCTTGCCAAAGGCCAGTAGAACATTGTGTGTTTAAACCCTTCCCTTGCAGAACGATTGGCAGTTCACGGAAAGCCCATCTGGGCAGTGACTGGGTTAATGCAAGATACTGTACACTTGACCCAGTTATTTCTTTCTGTGCCCGACGCTTTCGCTAGCTCATCCAGATCTGTATACCCGCTGGCACTCTGATGGGCCCTGTGCCTTGAGAGTTACTCATGGGCTGCGAATAGATTTTGACAGTATTAAGAATAAATGTTACAGAGGGGGTGGATTATATTCAAGCTCTTGCATGTGAAATACTACAGTGAAAACATACTTAAGAGCCTAAAGAAAATGAGTGCTGCTGACCGCAAGTCCTACTCTCTTTACGCAGTCCTCCTCCTACTTATCTCTCTACTACCCAGCAGGGAGTGAGGGAGACATACACTGGGTATCAGCAGGCGAGACGGCAGACAGGGCCTAAATCTGTGTGGCCTTCTGCGTTTGTTCTTATGATACTCATGTACAGCATCATGTGTGTTCCCTACTGTGCATTGCCCCAACGCCTGCCTCATTATGTAGAAACAAGGCTTCAGTGCTGTTATAAACAGCCCTGCATAGCATTCCTTAAAGCTTTATTCCCAGTGAGCGTTTTTGTTTACTTAATTTTATTTTTAATATTTTAATACCTGTGTCCTTAATCTAAGATGCAGAGTATTATTATTCCTTTATATTCTGTAGCATTGCATACTGGAAATATTCTGGTTACACCCCTTCCCATACACATCCCTTTCACAGAGGCCTGCAGAGCATCACTCCAGTGCCCCGCTGTAACATTCTAAGAATTGCAGAGCATTGCTCAGTAGTCTGTAATGCTTGGTTGGTTTTTTGCTATTGCAGTCTGTGTAACACTTTTTTTTATTTTATTTTAAAGGTGCTGTGCAAAGCATCATTCTAGTAGCCCATTGTGTCCTTTTTAGGGCATGACTCAATTCATGTTAACAATTGTTGAATCTGCAGAGCATCGCTCCAGTAAACCCTGTGACACCAATGGAACTTTCCGAGTCTGATTTTGGTCTTCATTGCATTATTCGGAGACGAGTGGTGGAGTTTTAACATTAAGCGTGTGGTTTTTTTGTTTTTTGTTTTTCTTTCTCTTTCTTCTCCATGGATGTGTGTGTATATGTATGTGTGCCTTCAGCAGTTAAGGGGTAATGCTTGATGATGTTGCACTCTCTCTGGTGCTGTCATGCTGCCTTTTTCAGCCAGTTAGGTTATTTTAATTGGCTCATGTTCCCACCTTTCTAGCTAGGCTACCCCATACATCCCAGGCCTCAACAACCCTGGCTTTTTGAGCCTTTGATAATTGGTCTCAACTGAGAGGTCTGGCAGAATGAGGGCGACTGAGATGGGCAGCTGTAAGCACTATCACAGCAACTTTCTCTGTGCCTTATTCAGCAGCAGGCTTGAGAGAGGCAACACTTTTATCCTTGTATAGTAGAACATTCTTGGTTAACGCAGCGCAAAAAGATTCTGCTCATTCTTCCAGCAACTTTTCACCTTAACTCTGTTAACCCTTTGCAGTCCATGCTAAGGGAGGAACATGGACTGCAGAAATCATATAATGCCCAGTGCTTCTATACATATATATTTTATCCTTAAAGGAACACTCCTGACTGACCCAGTTTCTTTCCTTTTATGCATTGTATGGATGTTGCATTAAAAAATATACGCGAAAAGTAATTACAATAAAATAAGATACTGACTTTTTTTAAGTTCTGTATTTGCTGCGATTTTCCAGACCCTGGCAGCTTCAACGGTGAGCTTTGCCTAGACCAGGAAGCGGCTCAACCAATCATGATGCTCACGTAACATTATAAATTGCCAGTGCTTAATCAATCGGACATTTAATCATCCATCACAATTTCCACAGTAAACCTGTCTTTTCCAGCATTTGATTGGGAGATGAAAACTGTTCAGTGTTTGAATGGTAATTTTCTCAAAATGCCCAGAGAAAGTCCAGATCGGTTAGAATTTTAATTTATATTTTTTTATTGTTATGAAAAAATAACATGCTAAATTTATTCACCACAAGGTTCAGGGAATTTTGTAAATCTGTATATTATAATGCAATGAACAAGTAGAATGTTGAATACACTGTATGGTCTTGATCATTATGGCAAAGAATGTGAATGATAATTCTAGTTATTAAAGTTATTTGATCTTATTAAGGCAAAGGATAGACAATACTCCGTGCACTGGACTATCCTTCTCCTAATTCTTTTTAAGCGGATAATCCGATGTGATTCATAGCACCAGGTTAGTCAGAGGTGGCCATTACGTGGTATGGATGAAAACTTCACATGGTTTGTCACAACTAGTGGCACAAGGGTTTTTCTGAATTTAAATTTTAAGTCAATGCTAATACATTGAGATATATCAGACCGGATGAATTAGCAGCATATCTGCTAGTTTAAAGGTCTTTAAAATATACATGCTGCTGGGCAGCGGTTCAGAATAGCTTTTTAGAAAGTATATTAATAAAATAAAAGTGATCTACCATTTTGTTTTACAGCCAGACATATCTTTAGCAAACTATTTGCAATTACTAATCGTGAAGGTTCAAGGAGAATGGTCACCTCAACACTACTTTATTAATATAATGATCCTTTCACAAAGTCTTGAAACTTAATAGAAAAATTAAAAATCTCCTATTACATTTAGGTATATGACCGGATCGTTCTCCCAGACCATGTTTGAATTTGATAGTTGGTCTTATGATGTCATTGCACTGTGCAGCGCAGACCATAGAGACTATATAGAGTTTTTTTTAAACACACTCTGAGTAATATTTTACCAGGAAGGATACATTGAGATTTCTCTCGTTTTCAAGTAGGTCCTGGGTCCACAAAACACGGCTTAAGGATCCAGTCCTAGATACTAAAGGTAGTGATGAGTTTTACAAAAATAATTGTATTTATATATAATATATATATATATATATATATATATATATATATATAATATCTCATTACAATTAATTTAACAAAGAATCGATTTCTTTTCAAAACATGAAAGGATTATAATATATAGTTCTGAGAAGATAGTTATTCTTTAATGATGGTAGTGCTAGACTAGACTCCTAGGATTTGACTTTTCACTCAGCCTATTTATCCCCATGTACTTACCCCATCCAAATTCCCAGTGATCTGTGTGCTATGCAATACTATGAAGCTACAGTTTTTTTTTTAGGAATTAACCACTTTGCACAGACCGTGCTAGAAGACCAGGCACTGCGTAACCCTGTATCTACAATCTGATAAGATAATGCGTGAACACAGAAGTTCTGATAAAGCACCCCAAAGCATTGAAGATAGATCCACGTCGAGAAAATGGGGCATTTTCATTTACACATACATAACACATCTCCCGCCAACAATAATCAGTTACCCAACCTCTCCAACTATCAATAAAACCCTCATGATCCTGTGGAACTAATTGAAAATGTAAATAACTTTTTGTTGTAATAAAATAATAATACACCCATCTGCCCAAATGGACCAAACTCCTTTGATCACAGAACCAAACCTACCATTCTTACACTTGGATGGGTTAGCAAGACTGTTCTACAATGTACATTGTCTAATTCATGCAATTTGATCCAGCAGAAGGTACGATTATGGTCAGGCTCTAAAATTTAGTAGCAGTGAAATCATGATATCTAAGCTCAAACAATATAATAAAAAACCGGTGTCTGCCACATAAATGCATTGTATGTTCAATCTCGCACCTACAGTTTTGTAACCACATAACCAGGAGTGTTCCATGATGATAAAACTATGTAAACACATGAGACTGTAGCATAACGCACAAGGTGTAACTCCTTAAGGACACATGACGGAAATATTCCGTCATGATTCCCTTTTATTTCCGAAGTTGTGTCCTTAAGGGGTTAAGAATTATCCGTTTTCGCCTCATCTCATTGTAAACAAGTAAGTTCCTTGACTTCTACACCTTTTATGTCTGTTTTTAATAAGTGTCTCCATTGGTTTCCCACCTCGTACTGTGATCATCAGACTGTGGTACACGGCAACCTTATATTCCTGGGCATTATAAACCAACTCACATTAAGTACAGGGTACTCAACCTATTCACAAGAATACATAGTTACGGTAGAGAACTTGCCAAATTCCCAGTCTTGGACAAAGGACTATCAGTACTGAGGTGTCTTAATAACGTCATCTGTGCTAAATTAGAGCTGTTAAAAAATGCTGTGCTGTTGGTGTCTTGTATAGTCAGTTTTAAAAAAACATAAGTAACTATCCTTCATTTTACCATCGATGGTATGAGGAATTCCGTATTACTACATACTATTCCAGTTAGGAATGGTCCATGGAGCAGTGCTGCTGAGGTCAATATGGTGGCACCGATGATTAATATCCTTATTCGTGTGAGTACCTTGTGATATCCTCAGATTTCACACTTTCCTTTATAGCTTGTGAATTTGCCCATTTACAACGAGGGTCGCTGGGGCTTCTATTTGGGGTTACTGGACTTATTCAGATACAAACACAAGTATGAGAAGGTGCTCACCATAAGGAACCCCCTAGTGCAAGCATGTCAAACTCAAAGGCTATCAAGGGCCAAATAAGCAAGGTTTAAGTGGGTCACAAAAAAAAAACAAAAATGTAAATTTTCATTGAAACGTAGTTTTATCTTCAAAAGTACAATATAACCCCCCTTGTCTACTAAACCCCTGCCCCTGTTCTCACTCACACTCACTGACAGACATACACACAGAATCACTCCAACACACATGCACTCACACACATTCACTGACAGACACACACTAATTGACTAACAGGCACGCTCACAGACACACAATCACTCAGATATACAGGTTCCCTCAGACACTGACATACACACACAGACTCACTGACAGACACAGCCATATACACACATGCACAGACAGGAATACACACAGACCGCCATACACACATTTCCCCCCAACACTTTTTTTTTTTTTAATTTAAATCCACCAAGCCCCTCTACCCTTGGGAGAGCTGGGTGGATTTCTTACCTGGGGTCCAGTGCGGCTGCTGGGCGCGAAGGATGGCCGGACGTGCAGGCAGGCGGGCTCTCCAAGTTTTCAGCAAGGGAGCACTTTCCCCTGAGCTCTCTCTGCTTGCAGAGTGATGCAGGGAGCCGGAATGTGATGTCATATTCCGGCTCCCGCTATCATTGTGGGAAGCTGAGCAGAGAGAGCTTACACTCAGAGCGCTCTCACTGCAGCCCGCAAAATAATTAGTTGTGGGCATCATGCGACCTGCGGGCGGCACACCTTTCCAGGGTATTCACTATTCTAACTGTAGAAAAGACCAGGCATAGAAACAGAAGTATTATATTTGATTAACACATTCACCAATAAAAACACAGGTGGTCTACACACAAAAATTGAAACGTTAATTACCCCTTTTCAATAACACAAACTGTAGATAAAAAAAATAAATCCTCTAAAACCTTGACAAATAACCTGACAGAAAATATATACAAAACAATACACAAAGGCCAAAATAGTGTAATAAAGTTACTACACCAAATAATATCCTTTTGGTTCAAGGTTTTACTCACAAATATAGGAAGAACAGTAAGCCTGTCCTTAATAATGAAGGTGATGTTTGCTCAGGTGAATCTTCTAAACATTCAGCGATGCATGCAACGACAAATAAAAGCCATAGTGCAACACTTATATTACAGACATAAAAGTGAAGCGCAAGTATACAGGCCCTACGCGTTTCGTCTTGCATAAGACTTTCTCAGGGGAAATAAAGTGCAGCATTATCTTTCTACATCCAGAAAACCTTTTCTTATACCATGTGTAATCCATGTTCAGACCGCCGTCAGCCAATCTGAGTACAACTCCTCAACTGTAGCTGATAATCATCTGGGCTCAGTTTGCGCCAAGACATTCCCTTGTAGAGCTCCACCGGAGCGCAAATGCGTTCCTCTTCTTCCCCTTCCGGTTGATGATTATCACTTATATCACTAGGTGAGGAGTTGTACTCGGATTGGCTGACGGCAGTCTGAACATGGATTACACAGGGTATAAAAATAGATTTTCTGGATTTTGAAAGATCTTGTTTTGTTACGTTGCTCAAACACTTTGAAAGAAGGGGGTGGAGGAATGGGCATTGGCGATATAAACATTTTTATGGCACAATATCTATTAAAATAAACTGTAGTGGTTATGGTCCTTTAAGTTCGCCATTGGGCCCATCTCTGTATTGAAGAAAGAGAGATCTAAACAAGTGTGACATAGGCTTGTTATAATTTTTAAAATGGTATTGTCACATCAGCTTTATTTTATTTTTTTTAATTAAACCTTTTGCCCCTCTGTTCATCATTGTTTTAATTTTTTTATAAATTGTTTATTTTATTTTTTGAGCATCTGATTAACAGACAATCCGAAATGCCTCAACAGCATTGGCAAGACAGTGAACTGGACAAAGCATAACAGTGACAAGGCATTAGAGTATACTGCACAATTTTTCAATGTAGCATAGAGTACAGGCTAAACTGAACATGTCTACACGCAGTTCCAAATTATTATGCAAATTCTATTTAAGTGTCACAAAGATGAAATATTTTGTTTTTCAGTTTAACTCATGGATGGCATTGTGTCTCGGGGATCTTTTGATCACTGAAAACAATCTCGGACACCTGTGATAATTAGATTGCCAGGTGAGCCCAATTTAAGGAAAAATTACTAAAGGAGGGTGTTCCACATTATTAAGCAGAGCACTATTTTCATGCAATATGAGGAAGAAAAAGGATCTCTCTGCTGCCGAAAAGAGTGAAATAGTTCAATGCCTTGGACGAGGTGTGAAAACATTAGATATTTCACAAAAACCTAAGCATGATCATCGCACTATTAAGAGATTTGTGGCTGATTCAGAGCACAGACGGGTTCGTGCAGATAAAGGCACATTGAGGAAGATTTCTCACAGATCCATGCATCGGATCAAGAGAGCAGCTGCTAAAATACCATTACATAGCAACAAACAGATATTTGAAGCTACTGGCTCCTCTGGAGTCCCACGGACATCAAGGTGTAGAGTCCTTCATTCGGCCACCACTAACCAATGCTCACAAGCAGAAACAGCTGTATTGGGCAGAAAAATACATGAAGACTAATAAAGCCTTGCCCCGCCCTGCAATTAGGCTCCGAGCACTCTGATTGGTGGGTTTAAGCCGTCCAATCAGAGTGCTCTGACAGGTAAATGAAGAGACTGACAGGTAAGTCTCTACAATTACCTGTCACAGCACACTGGTTGGCTTGAAATCCACCAATCAGAGTGCTCTGTGTCATTTTACACAGCGTGGGAAAGTTCTTTGGAATTTAAGTCTGAGTACATTAGTTCCCCCCCTAATTATTATTTAAGGCACCCACCCACCGCTCAGGGGTGGGGGCTTGGGGGAGGACATTAGGTCCTCCCCCTCATTCTAATTTAGGGCCCACACCCACTGCTCTGGGGTGGGGGCCAGGGGGGAAGACATTAGGTCCCCCCCTAATTTGTATTTAGGGCCCCAACCCACCACTCAGGGGTGGGGGCCAGGGGGGAGGACATTAGGTCCCCCTCTCATTCTAATTTAGGGCCACCACTCAGGGGTGGGGGCCAGGGGGAGGACATTAGGTCCCCCCTAATTAGTATTTAGGGCCCCCACCCACCGCTCAGGGGTGGGGGGCAGGACATTAGGTCCCCCCTTATTCTAATTTAGGGCCCCCACCCCAGGGGTGGGGGCCTGAGGGGAGGACAATAGGTCCCCCCTTATTCTAATTTAGGGCCCCCACCCTCCGCTCAGGGGTGGGGGCTCGGGAGGGGGGACCCTTTTTAAAAAAAACAAAAAAATTTAACAGTGAGCCTCCATAGGCTGCTCACTGTTTACTAGACATAATATTTACTTAGTATTAGTAAATTTGGCTGAAAGACCAATTTAGGTCTTTCAGCCTTTTGGTAGATAACTCCCTAATACCGTGGGAATTAGGGAGTTATCTACCAAGCGGCTGCAAGAGAAGTTCCGAAGTGCCGAATTGCAGAAGTCTCGAATTTCGGAATGCTGAACCGAACCGAAACATTTTCCCATGCACATGCCTACTGCAAACACAACAAATGACAATTTTCAGTTCTTTAAAACCTATAAAGTGTTTTGAAACTTACTGTGCGTAATAATTTGGAACAGTGCATTGGAAGTTTTTTATGTTTTCAAAAAAATACTGTTATCATTAGGAGGTTTGTTCAGTAAAATTTGAATTTTACTCTTAATAGTTGATAACATGAGAATTATGCTGACTGTTATTTACATCAATTATTTAGGTAAATGAGAAAAATATCTTTTGCATAATAATTTGGAACAGGGTGTAGATGAACTATTGAGAGACAGATACTAAGTTATGTAAAGTCATAGACATGGTATTAAAAGCATTAAAGTAGATTGTGTAACAAGCTGATGTTACTGAGATGTAGTATTCAAGAAATAAATTATATGATGTACGAATAACAGGATAGCTTTTCAAAAAAACAGTTATAGTTTACGTTAACATGGCAACGACGATTACTGTCAGGATGGACTTAGTATAATAAAACATGCGTATATTAGTAGCCTATTATGGTATGCTAAGCTGCACGTTTTAAACTATGGTGTGCCACATGACTTACACGCTCCTACAAAGGTATAAGATACTAGGACAAGCAGGCGGAG